TCAGTTTGACTTGAGTTTTTCTTAACCCTAACTACACAATACATATATACATCAACCTAATAATAAATCCCAGGAATGACACAGTTCATTTGGGATAATCAAAGTGCACTTCCTCAGAGGTACTAATGAATAACATTTATAATTATTTACATATTATCTCCAGGGAACAATGAGAACTGTTAAACAATTTGCTCAAATACAAGCAGGATGGGTATAACATGGGAGAGAAAAGAAATTTACTTTCTTCAGCCTCAATCTCTTTCAAGCCTCTATTGCCTCCAATAGCCCCATTTCTAGATTATATGTCAAATGATAAGAAGAAATGGAATGCTTCAAGGGGAAGGGACTGTTGTATCCACATTGTAATTTTCATAGTCCTGCCTTAAAACACAATTTATCTTTATTGCTCACATAGAAGTGATATATCACCTCACACAGTAAATAGGCAAGGTGGACTTTGTGGTAAAGTTTAAACTTACTTTAACATTTTCTTGGGTTATAAAAGTATTCTTCCCTATGGCACCTTATTTAGAGATTAACACATATCCTTTCCCCACAGTAGTTTCAATGCCCCGGTTTATGAACACCTGCTTTTTATATCTCTGCTTTTAGTGTTGGAGCTGAGGCATGAAGTGCATATATTGTATCTTTTTCAGTGCATGTGGGTTTTGCTAACACTGTTATGTTATTTGAGACATCAGGGAGCATATATGAAAGGATCTAGAATATTGGTCTGCACAAGCCATGGGGCTGTGTCATTGCACTGAACTCCATTGTGGCCTGTGAAGCTGTATGGGAAGAGTGAAACGTATCTCTGTGGACAAGGGCTTGCTCCAGGGATTGTTGTTTGTCCTCTCCTCTAGGTTGCCAGAAGGGCATGGGAATTTAGATTCAAGTGATCACTATGCTGTAGGAAGGGAAAAATACCTTAGCTTTCCACATTCATCTAAATGTTATAACTTGGCCTCTCTTCTTGTGGTCTGGCACATTGGAAGGTTGGCTCTGAAGGTTGCAGGTGGAAGCAGGGCTGTGCCTGGCCTCCCTCTGTCCAGGGGTGACACAGAATAAGTAATAATCATATTGTTCAGGAATGTAGTGACCAGTTGGAAAACATAGGAATTTAGACTTTCACTACTGTTTTCTGAGGATTTACAAAACATCACCGGGTTTGTTGCTGTAGTTGAAGGTCCATTGAAGCTGGATGTTCCAAGATCCAGTCCTGTGGTTTCCAGCCTGCAATTGATCCTTTGGAAAGAAAAGGATTCAGGACAAAGCTCTGGGACTTGTTTAGGATGGAAGCTGAAGCTCAGGGAAATAGCCTCCCTTTATGCAAGTCCCTTTGAACGAGAAAGTGAGCCAAAACCAAGACACCCTCCTTCCCTTCACACAAACAATTTTGACTCTGGCTCCGGGGTAGCACCACTTATTCCTTCCCAACTGGGTTAAGGGATGAATGAAGGTTGGGAACAGCCGAGCTCCCTGCATCCCAGTCCCATTGGTCCCTCAGACAGGGTTTAGAGGGGTTGTCCTCTGATGCCGGCATGGGCCATGGCACTGATCAGCCCCCCTGGCATGGAGCGACACAGAAATGAGAAATACCGACTCTGAGGGGTTTTTTCAGTCCTAAAGGTTGATTACCAGTGCTAAAGATCAAGCTGCCTTGTAATTTCTCTTCATCTGCTCCTCTTTTCTCTTAAGGTGAGGCATTATACCCCAGCTTATTTCACAGGTCTGTCCTTACTCCCAATGAAGTTAATGGTAGAACTCCATCCAACCTGCACTTAGAAGCAGCTGAAGACTGGTAGAACCTTTAGTTACAACCACGATATTTTTTGCTAAAAAGAGAAAATACTTTTAAAAAGGGAAGATAAAATCTCTAGCTAAGACAGCTGTCCTTTCAAATTTGTTCTTAAATCAATTAAAAAAATTGAATTTGTTCCTTTTTCTGAATACGCATCTCACATAACAATAAAACCCACAAACATTCATATACATGGCAATTCAAGCACTGCTTTTGCAGAGTTTATTTAAGAAGCTCCAAAATAAACCTGAAATAATCACACTTAGACCAAAGACATACTTAGGATAAAATAAAAACACAGCCACAGTAGTTATAGTCTAGAAGTGACTGGGGTACTATAAAGTATAGTCACAACTAAATTATGTCTTGGACTGAAGTAGATACATACTATTAATTGGATGTAGGCCCTTTAACCTTTTTGCAGGAAGCAAACTTGAGATCTAATAATTTTTGTAAAGATGAGCTTTCTGTGCTTCCAGTAATATTTCTGGGCTTTGAAAGGATCCTGACTTTCCTTTCAGATTGTTTTGATGAGATTGGCTATAATATTTCAACCATGCCAACTGAGCAGAGGTAAGAGATGATAAAGGAGGGTGGAAGTTTGATTGCCTTATTCAAAGGATACAAATATCCTGCTGGTAGTATCTGTGCTCTGCTTATGATCTTTTAAAGGTACTTTGTTGCTAAACATTTTCATGGATGAGAAAAATTGTGGCAGAAAGCAAAGTTAGGTAATGATTCAAGTATCTCAACTTAAAAAGAAGAATTAACCTATTGGGAAGAGGATGTGGAGGCAATAGTGTTTTATATCATACACAAACTGATGAAAATATAATTTCTCTCTTAGGTTCACCACCTTTCATTACCATTACCTGTGTCTAAAATAAGGTCCTGAATTAAGATTTGTGTTTTTAAAATATACCGATGATATACTCCCTCCCTCTAATGGGTATCTCTTTTTTAGCAAATGGTTTTAATTTCAACCCCAAACTAGTTCTGACTTCGCTAAGAAGAGTAAACCCCTAATTCAGGTTGACACACCCACAAATCATAGAGGTTTAAAAAGTAGTGGGTGTGTTTTTCTGCCTTGCTTTTATTGTGATAGACTTTCTGTCAAAGGACTCAGGACCAAAATGAGGTTCCTCGAAGGCAATAAAGAGACATCAGGAATGGACTTCATCAAAGTTAACTCTTGCTCTGAAGTGTTTCTGAGGACCCTGAAGTGCTCCTGATGTGTGGTTTACACCTATCTAAAGTCATGAAAGATGCCTCCCCTCATTCATTTCAAACTAATCACACAATCTATCTTGCAGGAGTTGTTCAGGAGGTGATAATGGTGAGCAAAGTAGGAACAAGAGTCTGAAGAGCTGATAGCAGCATAAGCTGTCACCACCATTTCTTCAGTGAAGGTCTGGCGACAGTCAAAGAGGATTAAAGTACATCTTATATCCTAGTAACTGGAGTGGGCTAAGGGAATAGACATACTTATTATGCATATGTCATCTGAAGAGCCGAGATTTAACAGCCACAGGCCATAAAACTGAAATCCTGGACTGACTGCAGGGAGGGAAAACACCACACACTCACCAGTGGCCAGGATAAACATTTGCTATTAATTTCCTCTTAGTACAGATGCAGCTTCATCCTAACAGCTGACGTTTTATGAAGGATCAGATTTTGTTTCCTTGTAAAAAGAATTAGAGAAATGCTTAAAAGCCAAAACAAATCTGAGTGCTGAAGGGTGATGACATCTAACAGGTCTGCAGAAAAACATTAGTGCTGGGCTTGGGCACTAACACTGAGTATAGAAAAGGAGATAAAATTGTTTTTTGTCTTGTCATCCTCACCCTCAGCACCGATGTACCAAAGCCATGGCCTGAGTGAGAAGGTGGTTCACCCCAGTCTGGTATGAAGAGGTCAGAAGAGGGTTGGCACAGTACCTGGCTCAGGAGATGGTTCCCATTCCCGTGACTCAGGCAAGGTGTCCCCTCTGGCTGCTGCCGGGTCTGTCTTTGGATCACAGAATAGGTGAGGTTGGAAGGGACCACAGTGGGTCATCTGGTTCAACCACCCTGCTCAGGTAGGGTCATCCTACTTGATGTAGGAGCACATGGTGCAGGATTGTGTCCAGACAGTTCTTGAATATCCCCAGTGAGGGAGACTCCACACCCTCTCTGGTCTCTGTTCCAATGCATGGTCACCTGCACAGGAAAGAAGTTCTTCCTCATACTCAGGTGGAACTTCCTGTGCATCAGTTTCTGCCCATTGCCTCTTGCCCTATGGTTCGGCTTCACCGAGAAGAGGCTGGCTCCATCCTCTTGACAACTTCCCTTTGGATACTTGTATACACCTTTTCTCAAGGCTGAGCAGATGTAACTCCGTCAGCCCTTCCTCATTAAGAGAAATGCTTCAGTCCCTTAATCATCTTTGTAGTCCTCCCATAGACCCGCTCCAGGAGCTCGAGGTCTCTCTTGTACTGAGGAGCCCAGAACTAGACACAGTACTCCAGATCTGGCCTCACCAGGACTGAGTAGAGGGGGAGGATCACCTCCCTCGACCTGCTGGCAATGCTCTTCCTAATACACCCCAGGATACCATTGGCCATGGCCGCAAGGACACATTGGTGGCTCATGGACAGCTTGTTGCCCACCAGGACCCCCAGGTCCTTCTCTGCAGAGCTGCTTTCCAGCAGGTTGGTCCCCAGCCTGTACTGATGCAGGGGGTTATTCTTCCCAAGGTACAGGACCCTATATTTGACTGGTGATCTTCAGATAGTTCTTTTCTGCCCATCTCTCCAACCTGTTGAGGTCCTTCTGAAGGGCTGCACAACACGCTGAGGTATGAGCCAGTTTTGTACCACCAGCAAACTTTCTGAGGAGGCATCTATCTCTTCATCCAAGTCATTGATGAATATGTTAAGTATTAAACCTTTGGGGGACAATGCTAGTGACAGGCCTCCAACTAGACCTTGCAGCACTGATTACAGCTCTCGGGGATCTGCTGTTCAGACAGTTCTCAATCCATCTCACTGTCCACTCATCCAGCCCACACCTCCTGACTTGGCCTGTGAGGATGTTGTGAGAGACAGTGTTGAAAGCCTTGTTGAAGTGGAGGTAAACAATATTCATTGGTCTTCCCTCATTGACCCAGGTAGTTGTTTCGTCATAGAAGGCAATCAGGTTAGTCAAGCATGATTTACCTTTAGTGAATCCATGTTGACTACACCTGATCACCCTCTTGTCATCAATGTGGATAGAGATGGCTTCCAGAATGAGGTGCTCCATCAGCTTTCTGGCGATTGAGGTGAGGCTGACTGGCCTGTAGTTCCCTGGGTCCTTCTTCTTGTCCTTTTTGAAGACTGGGGTGACATTTGCTTTCTTCCAGTCCTCAGGCACCTCTCCTGATCACCACAATTGACAGCACATGAAATATAACAGTATTCTTGAAGGTAAGGGCAGGTGTTACGCAATCTTTCAGTTTTTTAGTAGCTGTCAGTGGTTGCTTGTGAGGTCACCAAGCTGTTTACTGCATGGTGAATGGTTTATTTGAAGTAAAGATGTATGATTTTTGAATGAAGATATTAATGATGTGACAAAAAAAAACCCCAAAAATACTGCTTTCAATGGGATCTATAGTTAAAGTCATGTACCAACAAACCAGATGCCAAAAGTAGCTGCAAGGAACATAATAATATAGATTTTTGCAGCAAAAATAGAAAACAGGAAAAGTAATAAATGTCTAAATCTATTCAACTTTCAAAACCTAGATTGGGATGTGAAGTTTTAATATCTCTAATTATTGTAGCTACTGATTTTCTTAATCAAATCAAAATATTTTTTTAGTTTTACGCATTCTTGCTAAGTATAGATGATGTTAACTTATAAAAACTTGATTTCTGTTTCACTTCAATCCCATTCCTCAAGTGTTCCATGTGACAATGCAAGCTTTGCTATTAGGAAGAATAACAAAGGAAAAGTTTTATTTACAGTTGCTGGCCGAGGGCTGGATTTGAAGAATTTCTCCTTTTTTTCTATCATAATTCAAACGATAAATTTCAGTGACTTCTAAAGCTTAAATTCTTTAAATTATGATTATAGATAATACACACAGACAAATGAAAAGCCAAACACCAGCCTTCATCAAAAGTGTATTAGCCAATTTGAGAGGTCAAACCATGGAAGTCAAAGAATAGCAGAATTAAGGTTAGCTTTGCAATCTCAGTTTGGCTATTTTGGGTGTAATGAGTGGGTCATAAGTATTAATTATAGATCTACATGTTGGTCCCTCTGCTTCTTCTCTTCCTCTTTCAGCACACAGACTGTCCCACGTTCTGTTAATGAGCGAGTAGTATTTAATTTTCTTTTTGGTATTCATCATGTGATGTCAAGTATTCTCTTGCTCCCTTCTGCCAGTTCCTGTACTGAATTCAGCATTATTATTTTTCCTTAGACTTTCCTATAGCTTTCAGCTCTCTGCTGTCTGTGAGTTTCACAAAAAATACTTGATTTATTTTTTCAAGAGCCCAACGGATATGTCATTAACATGACTCTACAGGTGGGGTATTGATGGAAGCGTTCTAGGAGACGCAGGTGGTGGCGGTAGATGACCCATGATTCGGATCCATATAAGAGAGTAGACAACACTATGGCTCTGTAAACACTGATCTTGGTACTTTTCCTCAGGTGTTTATTATGCCAAACTCTTTTGTGGAGTTTTCCAAAAGCACTCTATGCCTTTGCTAACCTGTTGTCTATCTCTCTGTCAATCTTACCATCTGAGGAGATGAGGCTACCTTGGTAATTAAACTGCTGGACTGATTTGAGCTCTGATTGGCAAATGGTGATATGGGGATGATGGAAGACTTCTTGAGGTGCAGGTTGATGTAGAACCTCTGTCTTCTTTAAGCTGACTTCCAGTCCAAAGAGCTCAGCAGCATCTGCAAAGCAGGATGTTAAATGCTGCAGAGCTGCTTCTGCGTAGGCCACAAGGGCAGCATCATCAGCACAGAGTAGCTCCCGGACAAGATGATTTAAGGTCTTAGTGTGGGCCTTCAGTCGCCTTAGATTGAATAGGCTTCCATCAGTATGGTATTGAATGTAAATACCATCCATCAATGCTGCCTCCGTACAATCCTAAATATCCACTAGTCAGATTATGTGACCAATACATCTGTTCTAGAATGAGCAGCAGTCACAAGCATTGAGGCCATGTTGCTGAGAACACAGCTGCGCTGGGCAGGGTACGTCTCCAGGATGAAGGACCACCGCCTCCCCAAGATCTTGCTCCATGGTGAACTTGCCACCGGCTGCTGCAAGAGAGAAGCCCCAAAGAAAAGATACAAGGACTCCCTGAAACAACATCTCAGCCTTGGCCATATTGATCAACATAACTGGTCTACTCTGGCCTCCAATTGGGAGGTCTGGAGACACACCATCTATAATGTTGCTGTCTCCTTTGAGAACACACGCAGGATCACCCTTGAGGAGAAAAGACAGCGCAGAAAGAATCGTGTCTTGCAGAATACACCATCTAAGGAGTCCTTCTGCTGTGCCTTTTGCAAACCGGATATGTCTATCTCATATTGGCCTTATTATCCACCAGCGTGCCTGTAACAAATGTGGATAGAACCTTTCCCAAATCTTCGTTCACGAAGCCCCGCCATGAACAGGTGGGGCAAGTGGCAGGACAGAAATGTTTGCTGGATTAGAGTGTCCGGTTTCTGCTGGTTAGAGTTTGACTTTGCACAGCATGGAGCCATATTTTATGTGGTAGTTGACTGTGAGTGCTCAGCACTTCTGCAGCTCAGAGACACCACAGTATCTAGTCAGGGACCCAGAAAATGAAGCTGTACAATTTATAACGGTGAGGGAGGGAGCTAGTTTAAATTGCTTGCCTGGCTTTGCATAGGAGCTGAACAGCAGAAATACTACCAGCCCTCAAGGACAACGGTGAAACCATCCTCCCTCTTCTGGTAAGCCCTAGATTTAGTGGGAGAAGCTGTGAGCTGTAACCATCTCCTATTACTTCCCCGGTGTGATACCTGCAGTCCAGGTCATTCCTGGGGAATGGCTGTTCTGCATTATTACTGCACCTGAATCCTCTTTTCTTTTTGTGCTATTATAAGACATCCATATCCCATGGGCACAGTCTCCCTTTGTTATATCCTCCCATCTATCATCAGTGCTGTCCATTTTGTGCCCGGCAGGAGGGAGAAGTATATGATCATGCTATTAAAGATAATGCCTATGCAAAAAAGGGTTGAATCAAGGCTGGAGAGGCAATTTGATTCTGGCACTTCCTCACATCTGATTGCTACTGCAAGGTTCTTTTCACACAGTTTGAGGTATGTAATTTCCCATATTTGAGAGGCAAAAAAAAAGAAAAGTAGACTGCCAAAATAGGTATTTCATTATGCAGGGTCACAGTGACTCCCAGGAGAGCCAGAGGGGTTGGAGTCTGTGTTGGCCACTGAAAGCTCTCTTACTTCAATTAATAGAGTAGAAGCATTAACAATCACTAGATACCAGTGTCCTGCTGAAAACACTGAGAGGCTTGTTTTCTATGAGGCAGACTGGACCACTCAGTGGATCTTGCAGATATTTCAGGGCAGTGGGGGATGTGCAAAGCCCCTAAACTGTGTTTTCCATTCTGGGTTCATGAGGGAAGTTTGATGTCCTATTTTTCTAAATGCAACCACTTTTACTGTGCCAAATGAGACTGAGACAGGAGTACTTAACTACTCCTACCCAGCCACACACCATTTCTTTCAGATTTCCCTATTGCTGGGGCAGTTCCAGCCTTCTTACACTGTCCACTTTAGTCCTCCCTCAGATCTTCCAGTTTTAATACTCTTTCCCAGACATAAATCAAGGTCCCCTTTTTCACTGGCTCCCACACTGTACTCCCTCCCACACAACTGGCGTTAAACTCTGGCCTGCCCATGTTGTCTATCTCCTGAAACAAATGTCAGACTGTTTCCAGTCTGTTCCTCAGTTTAATTTCTTCATTTTCCCCTGTCTTCTCACTCTTCCTCCCCCACTTCCAACTAAGAGACCTATTTCCATAGTCTTCACCAAGGAAGTTGAAAGCACTCTGTCCTCTCGAATGTCCCAAAATGACTGGAAATAGCTTGTATTTGTAACTGCAAGACAGTGTCAGATCTCTTTATCTTCAACCTGAAATACTGATGTTGGGGATGTACCTTCAGAGAATGACTGAGGTCTCAGAAGTGCCCATGGTTCATGTGTGACCTGTGGTTTTCTAACAGTTGCAATAGTTCCCTGGTGTAGATTTTGTAGATTTGTACAGAGATTATAAGGATTGTGTTTCAGGGATAACCCACAACTTAATGCCAAAATTCAATTGTGTTTTCCAAAGCATACAGGCATTAGAGTTTTGAAAACAGGGGGTTACCACGGGGTTTTAACATGGACAAGGCAAGTATTTTTTACATGGTCTTATCCTTGGCAGTAGGTGAACTCTGTTGGCTGAAGTTTTCCAAAAAAGATTTTTCAATTTCAGACAGGTGTCTGACATGTCAGTGTTCGGCCAAGTCATCAAAAGTTTTGCAATATTGGGACCCTAAAATGGGACAATCAAGTAATCTCAGTAATTGTTGGTGTTTCCAGCAATACCTACGAAATTCATATATGTTGTGCCAAATTCCACTCCTCAGGAAAGTGGTCACACTACCAAGCCTGAGTTCAAGAAGAGTTAGGACAATACTTTCAGGCACATGGTGTCATTCTTGGTGTGTCTTGCTCAGGGCCAGGAGTGGGACTCAATAATCTTGATAAATCCCTTCTAACTCAGCATATTCTATTGATTCTATGATAATTCAGGTTTACATTTATCCATTTTTATAATGATTTAAATAATCAGAAATATGTGATGATGGGAACAGTGGAATAGCCATTATATCTGATAGCTAGGGATATCAGCCAATGATGACAGATGATATTTATGCAGAAATGTTCATAAGTAAAAATTGTTTGTCTGCTTTAAAAATCCCTGCAGTTATTTGTTTGAATTCCATGAATATTTGCAAGAGATATTTTAGATCTGGACTTGCCTTTACAGATGTAAACTTCAACAGTCATCCCAGAGCTAGGAAAATCTGTTGTCATACCTGTAAATAGTATCTGCTGATGCTATTTGTTTCCTAAACAGGTAATTTGGTGAGAAAGAAAACCATAAGGCTAGTAGTGGATTTTTCTACTTTTAGTCTCAAACACATTATAGTCAATACTACTTAAAACTGAGATGAAAACCTGTTTTACGGGTTGGAAGAGCTAAATTTTGTATCAAGTGTGGACAAAAAAAGCTTTCAAATTGCTCAAAGTTATTAACATCATGGAACACAGCATATGAGCATTTCTCATCTTCACTCATTAAAACACT